GTCACGCTCTGATCCAGAGGAATCCCGTTAATCGCCAGAATCTGATCGTTCTCCTGCAATCTTCCATCCCTGGAGATAAGAAATATCATTATTATTATCCATGTGATTAATTTAATTTTAAATAAATAAATAAATATCATGCTAAAATGTTATTAATATTAACATTTTAGCTTCGTAAACAAATTCATAAATAGGTACAATAAATATATGTCAACAAACATTTATTTTAAACATTAAAATGTATTTACAGTATGTTACAGTATATTACAGTACAGTATACAATATATTACAGTATGTCCAAACAAAGAAACTGACCTAAAACAACATGAAGATATTTGCAGAACGTGACGTGTACAGCAAAAGGGACATATTTCTGAATAAACAGAGCGGTCTCACCTGTCTGCGACACTCCCTTGTTGCACCTGTCTGACGAACACACCGTGACTGCCGACCCCCTCTGGTCTCAGGCCGACCACACTGAAACCCAGACCTCCAGACAACGGCTTCTGCAGGCTGACGAGCTCTGTCTTTCTTCCCTGAGTTAAAAAATCCAGTGAAGATGCATCATTCATACTAACTGTATAAACAACGCAAGCTGAACCAAAACATAGTAGAAATTATGTTCAATATTTGGCACGTTAAATAAAACAATGTTTATCCAAAGAAAAATGACATAAAATACATCCCACCTTTGCCGCTGCATGTATCCATCTCTGAAGCTGCTCAGAAGATGTGTTAGTTGAAGCTGTACCGCTGGACACCACGGATCCCAGGCTGCTGGACGGACGACTCGCACTGACGATCAGCTGACCCTTCCTGGAGAAACTGAACTCGGTGCATGTGTCCGGAGGCAAGCTGTTTAACTACGAAGTAGAAAGGACAAAGTCAATTCTAAAGCTATACAGAAAATAAAATATAATACTAATAATGGTCATTATTATTACTACAACTATAAGTGTGATTGATTAATAATAATAATAACTGAATGGATGTGTTAGACCAAATACTTAATTGTTTCATATTCATTATTTAGACCAGGGGTCACCAGACTCCGTCCTGGAGGGCCAGTGTCCTGCTGAGTTTAGTTCCAACCCTAATTAACACACCTGAACCAGCTAATCAAGGTCTTACTTGGTATACTTGAAACATCTAGGCAGGTGTGTTGAGGCAAGTTGGAGCTAAACTCTGCAGGACACCGGCCCTCCAGGATCAAGTTTGGTGACCCCTGATTTAGACAAACATGAATTGTGCCTATTTATGAATTAGTTTGATATATAGGCCTAATAACACTACAAATATAAAAAACAACAACAATAATGCCCATTTATAAATTACTTTGAAATGCATTTTAATAATAATAATAATAATTTAATGCATGAGTTGGGTACTTAAATGTTTCAAATCTGTTTAGACAAATAAATTGTTTAAAAAAGAATAATTATAACAAATTACAAATTTGTTAGAAGTGCATTTTAATAATAATAATAATAATAATAATAATAATAACAATTTAATGCATGTGTTGGATACTTAAATGTTTCAAATGTGTTATTTAGAAAAATACAAATTGTTTAAAAATGTTATTTATAACGAATTACAAATTTGTTATAAATAAAAATGATTATAATAATAATAAATATTATTATACCAATAAC